CCAGAGAGCTGCCAGCAGCAGGGTGAGCACGGCCAAGGAGAAGACCTTCATGTCCGTCCCGGGGCTCGGTCAGCACCAGCAGCTGGCAGCTCTTGCTGACTCGGGGCCACCGAGAGCGACCTGCCTCTCCTGCCTGCACCTCGGCGTGATATACTCCCCGGACGGGCTTTCCATGACAGCTGTGGGCTCTCCCCGGGGAAAGAACCGCCCAGAGATATTGATAAAGGGCAACCGGTGAATGGAAATTCCTTCTCCCGGCCCCTCTGGCCCCTGTAGTACCTGAGGGCTGCTGGAAAGTGTGGCGAGCAGCTGGGAGCTCTGTGCTGCTGGTGATGCACTGGGGCCGGCAGTCTATTTTGGGTTTGGTTGTTGCCACCGGCAAACCACACAGGCTAGGGCTTGCGCTTGCCAAAGCCCTGGGCGAGTTTCTTTTCCAAAACCACCCATTGTCATCTCAGCTGCGATGCCTCTCTTGCAATTTTGCACTCGGTGAGTGGCTCGGCAGTGGCTGGGCTTGCCCCAGCCCACCCTGAGACCCATCGCTGGCTGCCCATCGTGGTGGCTGTACCTCTCACGGTGCCTTGTCACAGTGGCAGTGCCCATACACATCTCCTCATGGCATCCCGGGAGTGTGGGCTGTCAGTGGGGCCCGACCAGGCATCCTCGAGGGGCAGCTCTGATTGAATTTGGGCCAGGGGTCTCCACTCATTAGGATAGCTGATGAGGAGCATGGGAAGCCCCCTCCTCACGGGCTGAGCCTGCTTCTTGGCCCTCTCACTGGTGGCTTCCCCAAAGCCTGCATGGACATGGTTTGGCCCCATGCAACCCCTGGACACCCTCGCAGAGACATGGTTGGGGCTTTGGCTCTTCTCGGCTCCTTACTGACCCCAGCGCTTATAGATGTGGTTTAACACCTGGATAGGAATGCTGGCAGCAGGATCTGCGTGCTCCCAAGACACTTGCACAGCCAGATGTTTGCATGTGTGAGATCACATTTAATTCTGTTCAGTATGTTGTACAAAAAATAACCATGAGGCTGTTCCCCCTTAACCCCTCTGCTACTGCCAGGCTGGCGAGTGCAGCCTCACCAATACACTGCTGCCGCCTGCGAGGGGTACAGGCAGCTGCCTGCACGCAAAACAGGGCTGAGAGCATGGGGGCTGGCAGCGGTTCCGGACCCCAGCACCCTGTGGGGTCGGCACACCCCATCCCGGTGGGATGCCGGGGATGGCAAAGGCCCTTTGCCTTCAGGGAGGTGGTGAGGGTCATCACAGCGTGATGGGGAGGATGTCCCCGATGAGCTGCTGTATCCAAATGTGATGTCCCCGCAGCCACCTCTGAAAAGGGGTCGCCTTTGCGGTGTCCCGTCTCCCGTGGAGGGGACTCCTCGCGCTGCCTCCGGCCGCCCCGCTAGCTGGGGATGGAGAAGGAGCTGACTTGGAAGCTCTGCTGGTACTTCTTCACCCAGGCCCTGCTCGCCTGGGCACAGATCTCCTTCCCGCTCCTCACCCTGAAGCTGGGGCAGAGAGAAGACTGGGTTAGCGGGGTGGTGGTATGGGGACCCTGGCGCTGAGTTTCCCAGAGGCTTGGAGGCACAGAGGATCAGGATTGGACCCACCAAAGCAAGGCACGGGGTCTGGCAGGGTCTAGAGGGGCTTTACCCCCGGGGCTGGGTTTAGGGTACTCACATCACAGCCTGGTGTGGGCACTCGGGGCTGGTGCGGTAGCAGGCAACGACGTTGTCTCTCTTGATCCTTCTCGTCTGGAAGTTGAAGCAGCACTTGTCCGGCATGGCTGGGGCTCCTGGGGGGACAGCGCAAGCTCAGCTTAGCCTGGAGACCCCCACCTCCCATCTCAGCCCTCCCGTTGTGGGCACGGTGGCTCTTTGTGGGGAGCCCCCCTGCACCCCATGCACGAAGCAAACATGTCCCCATGGCCCTGGGGGCTGCCCCCATCCCCCAGCCCATGGGGACGGAGTGGGTGGCAGTGCTTACTCTGAGCCAGGCTCTGGCAGCACAGCGTGGTGAGGAGGAGGACGGCACAGACCACCCCGGCTGCCTTCGCCATGCCGGGCTGCGGGAGGGCTGCTTGGTGATGCAGGAGCAGATCTGCTGCCTGCTGTGGTCAGGGCCACTGGGCTGCTTTTATGGGGGAGCAGTGGGGCTGGCTTCCCTCAGGGCCAGCAGTTGCGTGGGCAGGGGGAGGACCTGGTCTCTTGCCACGTCCCAAAACACAGAGGGTGAGCAATACTCATCCCCTCCCAGCACAGCCTCAGGAAGGGAAAAACCTGCTCCCGAGCCGTGCTTTTGGCCCCTGATGGCCTTGGGATTTTTCCTGAGCTCCTGCCTCCAGCATTAGGGCCGGTGGTTGGGTTGCTCCTAAAATTTGGCTCCGCTTTCCTGTCCCCTGGGCAGGCTGCGTGCCCCATGGCAGGAGCTCCAGGGCGGGTGAGAGGGTCTGGGGATCTCCCTTGGATGGGACCAGGGCTGGGTTCAGCACCCTGCAGGGTCTCCAGCAGCTGCACAAACTCCTGACGGTCCATGTCCTCCCGCTGCACTGCGAAGTTTTGCATCCTATCACTTTGCATCCCAGCCCAGGGGACAAACGGCCAATTACTACCCCCCCCCTAAAAAAAGACATAGAGAAACAGCTTCTGTTTGGTTGCACCAGGCATGTACACAGCTCTCTGCTGGTTTTGGGGGTGTTTGGGGCCCGTCTGGGCTGGGAGAGGCCAGGCAGGTGGCTCCGCTTCCCTCCCCCCGGCACCGAAGCAGCAGCTCATGTTCTTGGCTGTGCTGAGCTGGGAAAGGCAGAGGCCAGTCTGGGGCTTCCCCCAGTGGATTTTGCCTGGCCACAGCTGTCCAAAAAACCCCCTCTCCCCCCAGCCCCGGCAAATCCCGGAGCACATCCCAGCTGCCAGCAGCTGGTGAATGGTGGGAAGCAGAGGGGAGATGCAGACACGCATCCCCACCAGCCCGGCTGTGCAGGCAGCCGCATTCCGCCGCGTGGGGCTGGGGATGCTGATGGCACCCTGCTGACATTTTGGCCACCCTGGGCTGCAGTGCAGACCCACCATGGAGACCCGGCTGTGGAGGGCATGGGGTGCTGGTCCAGACAGGGACCTGCTCCGATGGGAATGGGGGCTACCTCCATGGTGGGACCACATGTGATCCTCCATTTGCTCTTCTCCAAAGCCATTTCCCAAAAATCAGCCTCAATTTTTTGGGGCGCACATGCTGGGTAACAGTGGGGTGCTGCAAGCAGGGCTGGGCAATGCCCCAGGGCTGGCGGATGCGGACAAGGGAGGGTTCATGTTTCCATGCCCAGCTGGCAGAGCAGAGCACCTTCCCGTCGTCACCCCAACTCCCATTTAATCTCTCCTCTGGAAGACCCTGGGGAGCAAAGGAAAGCGGATGCCTCTGGTCCCAGTCCAGTGCAGCTGCCTGGCTCGCCTTTCCCTTCCTTTCCCTCTTATCCCCCTTCTTATCCCCACGCACCGAGGACCTCCTGGCCCAGCTGGGATAAATGTCACCTCCTAAGCGAGGAAATATTCCCTGCAATAAGAAAATGAAACAGAAGCACAAGGAAAACAAAAGAGGGTTTATTGGACTGGGAAAGGCCCCTTTTAAAGACTCCCATGCAAAATGCTGGGATACATCAGGCTGGGGAATTCCAGGGATGATGTTCCTGGCACTTGCAGCATCCCTCCGTCCCGAGCCCCGGTGCTAGTGTCTGCCCCATGGGGCGAGCGGACCCTGCGGATGGGGGATTTTGGAGCACGGGGGATTTTCAGCCCTGGTTGGGCCCCTGGAGCTGGCAGCCCCTGAGCACCCCTGGGTCCCTGGGGCCCACCTGAGTCTCAGGAGGAATATTCCCCTTTCCCCTCCCTACATCAGCCAGGACGGGGCTTTATTGGGTTTTCACAGACCTGACACTGGAGCTGGGGATGTACATGGGGGCTCAGAGGGGCCAGAGCCAAAACCAGGTGCTCCTGCGGCTCTTGATGAATTTAGGAGAAACTGGTCTTCACCCCCTTCCAGCTCATCAGCCCTCCCGTGTTTGATGCAGAGAAGGGCAGGGAACATGGGCAGACCCACTGCTGTAATGAGCGAATCCAGTCTCTGCTCTGGGGTGGCCCTGTGGGTGCCCCAGTCCCGCATGTGGTCTGGGCTGAAAAACACGCTTTTCCTTCCTTTCTTCCCCCATTTCATGGCGGGCTCCTTGGCAGCACTCACAGCTCTGGCTCTGAGCTTGGCTGCAGAGCATGGCAAGGAGGAGAGCCACTGGGGACAGGCCACCAGCCTCCATCTCCACCTGCCCCCTCTTCCAAGGCCATGGCGTGGGGTCTTAGGGCTCTGCCAGCCCTGACTTTTAACACCCTTGGTCACCAGGAAATCCCATGGCTGGGAAAATCCCTCTGGGAAATGTGGGGGATACAGGTGGGGGACCCCAGGAAATGCTGCCTCATCCCTACATTCCTCCCACCACCCCTGGTGTGGTGGGAGCATCGGTGGGGAGAAGGGCTGAGCCCTGCGGCGGGGGTGGGAGGTGTTGGCACCTGCAAAACATATGGGACAGATCCTGCTCCTGCTGCCAAGAAGCGCAGGGGAAGGTGGCAAATCTGGGGGTTGGCAGAGACATTTGGGACCCCGCTGGGGGCTGAGCACTCATTGCCCCCTCCAAAAAATTTGCAGGGGCTCCAAATCTCCCACTGCTGGGGGGGATGAGGATGTCTTAATCCCACCGGCCCCGGGGGGCAGCGGTGGATTCTGCAGTCCCAGCCACCCCATGGCCACCCCATGGCTGCCCCACACAGGCATTGTTCCGCATGGCTTCTCTGCGTCCCTGAACAGAAAGCACAAGCAGCTCCTGGGGAAACCACTGCCTCCGCCGGGAGTGTGTCGGTGCTTAGTCACTCTCCGTGCTCAGAACCAGCCCCAGCCTCGTCTTGCAGAGCGCTGCATTGCTGAGGCTGCCAGAGAGAGCTGCCAGGGCAGGATGGGCACTGCCAGGCACGTCGGGATGCCCGCTCAGCTGCACAGCCCCCCTGGAAATGCTGCTCGCCCCTGGGTGAGAGTTGCTTTTCCAGCCGTGTTTGCAGATGCTTTATTGATGCTGCAGCGCTTCTCCTCTCTTCAGCTGATCAATAAGCCTGGGGGAAGAAGATCTAAGTGCAGCACCCGCAGGACGGGATGGCTGCTGCAGCTGGGGCAGCCAAAGTCATGAACGTGATCAAAGCAGCTTTGCCAGGTCAGGTCTGTTTTCTATAAAGGATTTGTTTGATTTATTCTTCTCCCTTTTAAATCTCTGTCTTGGTCGGATCAGCTTTTCCATTACCTTGCTGGGGCTGATGGTGAGATAACCACTAAATGCACACCCCGTGGGTGCTGTTTCCTTTTTTAAGGTCCTTGCCTGGCCCCTGTCACCTGGGACTTCCCCAGTTGCTTGCAGAGATGGTTTATATTGAGATGGGTCCACCCTCGCCTGTCCCCAGGAAGAGGTGGCTCATAGTCCCGTTCCCCCCCCGCCACCCCCGCCCCTGCAGAGCCCAGCTGGCTTCTGCCAAGATCCCATCACCTTCTCCAAAAAGCAGCGGAGGGTTTTTTTTTATCCAAGGCTGGAAAACTTGGTGGGGATCTGCATCTCATCCCCAAAGCTGCTCGCCGGGGTGAGAGTGGGTTGTGCAGCCTCTGAGGCATTGGCTGGTACCCGGCCACCCTGAGGCTGCGGGGATGGGCCCATCTCCTGCTGTCGGAAGATGCAAACGTATAGAAATAAGATGGAACAGATGCTGCCGTCCTTGTCCAGGGGAGATTTCACCAGGAAAGTCATGTCCAAGCCCCTATTTCAGACATGTTACTCACGTGGGAGCAATGGTGAACATGCCACAGGCATTGCTGGAAGAAGCTGCAGCCACATCGCCAGGCTCGGACCAGCCTGTCTCACCCTCACCCACCTAACCCAGGCATGGGGAAAGGCCAGCAGCAATGCTCACTGGCTATGGGAACCGGGAACCCAGTGAAACGAATGGCATCACATGGCTTTGATGTAGATCTCTGGGGTTTTGGAGCCCTCTCTTTATTTTGGAGTCTGTGCCCTGCTCCTGGCTGGCGGCTGTGCCAGGGAAGCCCCTTCTTTCCAGGCTGCCGGTGCTGGGCAGTGGGATGCGGGTCACCCTACATCCCACCGGCCCCATAATGGGGAAAGCAGCCCAAAAGGGAAAGGTTTTCAACCCAAAGTGGTGGGTGGGGGGCTCAGGGCACCCGTGGCAGAGCTGATCCTGAGGACAAAAAGCTTTCCTCTGGGATGATGGTCCCCCTCCACATCAACTGGGGGAAGGGGCTTTGCGGTACCCATGTTGTGCCGTTCAGGCGGCTTGTCCCCTGGTGTTTCATCCTCTCCCAGCCATCCCGGGCTGAACTCTTCCCCTTCCCCGGAGTCCCCCGCCATGTGCTGCCTGACTCATTTCCCGTGTCCTTTGGCCCCCGGCATCCTGGCTGTCTCTGCACAGGGCCCGGCCCTGGCTGAAAAGCTGATTTCACACCAAACTCCTCTGCTTGAGATTATGGTCAGGGCTGGGCTGCTCAAATTGAGTGATCTCTTCCTCCCGCTCCCCAACCTTGGCCTTTCAAAACGCAGAGTTTAAAACTAAAATAAACCCAAAGCACTATCTGCCTCCTTGTCTGCACCCTGATTTCTGCAGGTTGCACATGCCTCATGATTTCCCAGCAACCTGAAAGGCAAGAAGCAGCATTTAATGGTGGAAAAAAAAGAAGAAACCCCAAAAGAGCAAGTAAGATGCTCATAAAATCCTCTGCACCCAGGAGCTCGGGTCAAAAATAATAAAAAAATTCACAATAGAGACTTGCTGGGCTCTCTGGATTTTCTCCAGTCACAAAACCCAAGGCTGAGCAGTGCCTGTGGGATGTGGGGAGGCAGCAATAGGCAACAGGGATCAGCATCACTGGGACATGGGGTCTCTTGCTGCACCACCCTGAATCCCCCTGTGACCCAGCCCCGGGTCCCTGTAGTGTTTTTCCCAGGCTGCAGCTGTCAGCAGCTACAATCTGCTTTTACAGCGTTAGTGACTGTTAGTTTTCACATGTATTTT